CCTAGAAGCCCGGCCACGGGACCTTCCCAGGCGCGTCCTAGAAGCCCTGTCGTTTCCCCCCTAGATGCTCGTCTCTGACTGATAAAGATACTTAAAGACAAAACCACAGTACTGGGCACAACTAGACAGCTTAGAATGGTTTCCAATGGCTCATCATTTTGATTTTTTGCTTTATTTTTTTTGAGATAGTCTCACTCTGTTGCCCAGGCTGGAGTGCAGTGGCACAATTTCAGCTCACTATAATCTCTACCTCCTGGATTCAAGCAATTCTCCTACCTCAGCCTCCTGAGTAGCTGAGACTACAGGCATGCACCACCATGCCCAGATAATTTTTGTATTTTTTTTAGTAGAGACGGGGTTTCGCCATGTTGGCCAGGCTGGTCTCCAACTTCTGTCCTCAGGTGATCCGTCCACCTTGGCTTCCCAAAGTGCTGGGATTACAGGCGTGAGCCACCGCACCCAGCCCATGTTTTTTTTTTGAGACAGAGTCACCCAGGCTGGAGTGCAGTGATGTGATCTCGGCTCACTGCAACCACCGCCTCCTGGGTTCAAGCAGTTCTCCAGCCTCAGCCTCCCCAGTAGCTGGGATTACAGGTGTGCGCCACCACTGCCTGGCTAATTTGTGTAGAGGTGGGGTTTTGCCAGGCTAGTCTGTTTGAGACCAGGCTGGTCTTGAACTCCTAAACTCAGGCAATCTGCCCTCCTTGGCCTCCCAAAGTGCCAGGATTCCAGGCATGAGCCACCGCACCTGGCCTGTTTTGAGTATTTTAATGACTCCACCTGGCGACGCATCCTCCGCCAGGACATGCACGAGCTGTTGACTTTGTAAACACTCGCTCCTGGTGTTCCGGGGCTGAGCGCATTCGGGAAGAGCCAGGTGGGAGGACAGTCCCTGCCCCGGCCTCAGAGAGCTCCAGGAAGGTCTTACAGTGCCTCGGCTGGTGTGTGCCTCCGGCACTGCAGGCGCCTGGCTGTTTCCTTTCTCTCCCTCAGGAGAGTGGGTGGGGAGCTATGGCACCTCGGGGCAGCCTCCTCGAGTGGCGGCCCCAGCCTGTCCAGGTTTCCAGCATGGACCTTCCATGCTTCATTTGCCTTTTTTTCTCTTAAACTGGGAGAGAAGGTCTTGGCTCCGAACACGCTGACTTGCGTGCTTTGCTGATTCCTCCATCTGTACCGACTCTGTGCTAACATTGCTGCCTGGGCCGTAGTTACCAAAAGAGGAAGTGATTTTGTTACGAAGGCCCTGGGGTCTGCGCCACCGATCAGCAGCCACATTGCTGTGTCCTGAGACCATGCGCGGACCCCAGGCTGCCTTCCTGTGTGCCCTGTCCTGAGTGAGGCCTGTGTACCAGCAACCCACCTAGGTCCGTCTGCATTTTGCTTAGGGTGGGAGTCCCCGGGACCTGCTGGCCTTTCCCCACCCAGCCCTGACCGGAATGGACCCTAGACCTCAGTAGCTTCTCATGGGCAGGAGGCAATCGGGGATATGGGGGAAGGAGGCCGCAGTCCCGCCCAACAGATGGTTCTAGTGAGCCCTGTGCCAGGCCTGGGGCTCCAGGTAGAAACCCCACTTCTCATGCCTCTCCTCAGGCTCCCCACTGGTGCAGGAAGTCACCACCCAGCCATGGATGGGGAGGAGCAGCAGCCAGCGCATGAGGTAAGACAGGGCTGGGCTGGCTCCTGGGGTCAGTCCTTGGCTGCTGCTCTGCAAAGATGATCTTCACGGGGTTCTCCAGGGCCAGGCAGGGGGCTCCTCTGAGGGAGAGGGGTCCTGGGCTGGGGTGCCTGGCGGCCCTGCCAGTGATGGCCAAGCAGGAGGAGTCCTGGCAGCACAGGGCATAGGCTCCACGGAGCGGCCACGGGGCCCTTTCCAGGCTGCGTGGTCCATGGGGTAGGCACAGAGCCCCGGCTTTGCGGGGTGTGCGGACCCTGACTTGAACTCTCCCTTCACCTGCAGGCCGATGTGGAACCTGTTGTGCCGTCGGAGGCTTCAGAGCCGGTGCCCAGGGTGCTTTCTGGAGACCCCCAAAACCTGTGTACGTCTCCCTCAGGGCCCTGGCACGTTCCCTGGTGTTGGGCTGTTGAGTCAGGGAGAAGCGGGTGGAGGCCGACCGCTGTCAGGGGCTTTGAGTCTGTGGCCGAGACCTGGGGTGGGTGCTGCTAGGCCCAGTGCCCCAGAGGGCAGACCTGACCCCCACAGCAGCTGCTCCTGGGCCCTGTGTGGCAGCAGAGCCTCTTGGAAGGGCTGCCAGCAGCACAAGCCAGCCTTGGGCATAGGGGGCTCTTGAGCACAAGGAGTGTGAGAAGTGTGAGAGCCCCTCCTGTGGCGGGGACACGGGCTTTCCCTCCTCAGAGCCCCTCCCCTCGCTGAGCCCCCTGGGGCGCCCACCACTCCACTGTCCACCGTGCTGTGTGTCACCTACAGCAGCCCCTAAGCTCGCCCTCATGGTGTGGTTGGGGCACAGGCTTCTCAAAGGCGTCCAGCTCACAGAGGTGGTAGCCGGTGTTCCTGTTAACAAGCAGGCCAAGTGTGTGGAGCATGTGGCTCGGAGCGTGTGGGGCGTGGGGCTCGGAGCGTGTAGGGCGTGGGGCTCGGAGCGTGTGGGGCGTGGGGCTGGTCGGGGAGCATGTGGGGCATGTGGCTCGGAGCATGTGGGGCGTGTGACTGGTCGGGGAGCATGTGGGGCGTGTGACTGGTCGGGGAGCGTGTGGGGCGTGGGGCTCGGAGCGTGTGGGGCGTGGGGCTGGTCGGGGAGCATGTGGGGCGTGGGGCTCGGAGCATGTGGGGCGTGGGGCTGGTTGGGGAGCGTGTGGAGCGTGTGACTCGGAGTGTGTGGGGCGTGGGGCTGGCCGGAGAGCCTGTGCCCCGCACCTTTCAGTCCTCAGAACCTAGGAGGGTCCCAGAGCCCAGGCAGCCAGTGGGCACCGCCCCACAATGGCCTGTGCTATTGTTGCAGCCGACGTGGACGCCTTCAACTTGCTCCTGGAGATGAAGCTGAAGCGGCGGCGCCAGCGGCCCAACCTGCCACGCACTGTGACCCAGCTGGTAGCTGAGGACGGGAGCAGGGTGTACGTGGTGGGGACAGCCCACTTCAGCGATGACAGCAAGAGGGACGTGGTGAAGGTGAGCGCCGTCGCCCGCCACGGCCCGGACGCAGGTTGGTGATAAGCTCCCGCGTCTTGCACTCGTGGAGGGCCCGTGTGCCCGTGTGTCTCCGTGACCACCATGGGGGCCGAGGTCCCTGTGCACTGCAGGCCACCTACGTCAACACTCCGTGGTCCCTGGGAATGGCGAGGTGGGCTTCCTGCCTGGGAGCCGTGAACACCTTGTGCGTCTTCCCACTCTAACAAGTGAACCCGCTTCCCAGCTTCCTCTCTTCTTGTTAAACGATTGAACTGCCCCTACAGCGTCAGGGTTAGCTGACACTGGGGAGAAGCCAATGCTGGCTGGCCCTGGGGTAGGGCCCCGAGCGCTGGTGTCCGTTGTGCCAAGGGGCATGGAGCAGGCCGTGTCCCCGAGGTGTGACGCAC